CCAAAACGTTAACTCTGACTTTTCTTCACAGATGCTGCCAGACCTGCTGAGCTTTTCCAACAAATTCTGTTTTTGTTCCTGATTTACAACATCTGCAGTTCTTTCGGTTTTTGCTTAATAATTTAAGTTCTGTATCAGGTCACCCCTCACCCTTTGTGTTTCTAGATTAAAGAGCCCCAGGCTATTCCATTGATCTTTCTAGTTTAGTTTGAATATTACAGCTATTAAATGAGGAGGTGATGGCCTAGTGGTATTACTGCTGAACTATTAATCTAGAGCTGCAGGTAATGTTTTGGGTACCTGGGTTCGAATCCTGCCACAGCAGAAGGTAGAATTTAAGTTCAATAATAATCTGGCATAGGGAATCTACTGATGACCATGAATCCATTGCCAGTTGTCGGAAAAACCCATCTTGTTCACTAATGCCGTTGTGGGAAGGAAACTACCATCCTTCTGAGGAAGCGTCACTGGACCCGAAACGTTAACTCTTTTTTTCCCTTCACCGATGCTGCCAGACCTGCTGAGCTTTTCCAGCAACTTTGTCTTTGTTCCTGATTTACAGCATCTGTAAACTACCATCCTTACCTGGTTTAGCCTACATGTGACTCCAGACCCATGGCAATGTGGTTGACTCTTAAAACTGCACTCTGGGCAATTAGGGATGGACAATAAAAGTTGGCTCATTCAGTGAAGCCTTCATCCCATGAATGAATAAAATAAAATGTACTGGTTCCCAAACAAGAAGAATATAAAAACCGTCCAAGAAAAGATAGCGACTTGGACTGAAAGTGTTCCTGTATTAATTGCTAGTACAGTGACAGAGGAGATGGTGTAAAGTGATAGACAGTGTATGGAGGCTATTTCTAATCGCATTGCTGTTCCACTCTCTTGCTAGGTGGTTATGTAACAACTCAAATCAGTGCAGCACTCGTCGTTGGGCAGTGGAGGGACTGGCCTATCTGACCTTCGATGCTGATGTGAAGGAGGAGTTTGTGGATGACCAATCCGCAATGCAGGCTATGTTTGAACTGACAAAGGTAAACAGCGAAAAAAGTGAGCAATAGAGGGAAATAGCATGAGTCTTGCATGTTTGCTGATCTTGCCTGTTCGCTGGCCATTCACTAGATGTTGTCCTTTGACTTGTTGGAACAGACCCCTTCATCTTTCAAGGGGCCTTCACATGCTTGCCTTTCTGTGCAATTATACTGAGATAGATTGCAAGTCTGCCAGTGACTGCATTGTCCTGTTTGATCCCTATTCTGTGCTGAATTATTAACCAGAGCATTAATAAAGATTGCTATTAGTCTCTTAATCCCTTGGGATTGGGCATAAGAATGGTGACCAGCATTTCGTAGAAACATAGAAAACAGGAAAAGAGTAGGCCATTCATCAGCCTTTGAACCTGCTCCACTAGTCAATATGATTTTGGTTGATTATCCTGAAGTACCCTGTTCCCACTTTCACCCCATACCATTTGATCCTTTTAGCCCTAAGAATTATGGTGGGTCCCCTCTGATTGCCTTTAGTGTCTGTGTGATTGTAAGTATGTATATGAAATTGAGACAGGATTGAGATCAGCTCTGATAATCTCCACAATCAAACAGATGTCTCAACTCAAATGAAAACGTCTGGTTCAGATACTGGACTCTCAGTTGGGAGTGGATACTTGGTTGATACACATCTCTGCTAATGATCGATCCGAGTTGTTTGTGATAAAATCATTTGTAATGAGATGATCAGTGTCTACTGTTCTTCCATTCTTGCTGTTTTGTGTACAACAATCTCTTGCTTTTGCTCCTTCCCAGACAGAAGATAAAACTGCTCTCTTTGCAGTTGCTTCCACCCTTGTAAACTGCACGAACAGCTACGATAAGGAGACTCCTGATCCACAACTTCTGGAACTGGCCAAATACGCCAAGCAGCATGTGCCAGAGGAGCACCCCAAGGTACAGTACAGGTGATAGTTATGTTTACAGAAAATTGCACATGCAACTCTTGCTTTGCCTGTAAGCCAAACAAACCTACAAGTTATTCCCCTACTCTCTGCTGACTTTGCAGGGAAATTTTAATGAACCTTATTATTGGCCGGAGCAAGGTGAGAAAATAATCACCAATACTTTAGTTCTTAATCCACTGGCTCTTGTGAGGATTGTGTCTGTCAGGATGATGGCGGGGAAACAATCATAGAATCCCTACAGTGTGGAAACAGGCCCTTTAGCCCAACAAGTCCACACTGAACCTCAGAGCATTCCGCCCAGACCCATCCCCCTATAAACTACCTAATCTACACCTCCCTGAACACTATGGGCAATTTAGCATGGCCACTCCACCTAACCTGCACATCTTTGGACTGTGGGAGGAAACCGGAGCGCCCGGAGGAAACCCACGCAGACACGGGGAGAATGTGCAAACTTCTCACAGACAGTCGCCTGAGGCTGGAATCGAACCCAGGTCCCTGGTGCTGTGAGGCAGCAGTGCTAACCACTGTGCCACCGTGCTGCCCCAATTTTGCCCCATAATCTCATTGCATTTAGCTGTGACCTTCTTTTAACACCTTCAAGTAGCTTGTTGACTCTTACTGTCAGTCCAGCTGTGAAGAACAATTCTTTGGTGCTGAAGAGCCGGTAGGGCTGTGAAGCCAAACCAGACTGATCTCATGCAGAAGCAAACCCTTTTTGTCCATCAAATCAGCATTGCTGGTTTTTCTGTCCATATCATTCAGTTTAGTCCTAGTCCCAAAATCCTTTAAAATTCCAGCTTTTGTAATCTGCTGACTTGCTGTACAATTTTTCAAACAATTGTATAAATCCTTTTATAAAATTAAAATTGTACTACCAAGTGGATGCCATTTAGTCTCTTAGCCTGGTTTTACAATTTGCTTCTAAATTCAATCTACCACTTTTATTCCGTGTCTCTTCATACCAAGGAGAAAATTCCAAGTGGCAATCATTGTGATGAAGTGCTTCTTGACTTCGGTTCATGTCAGTGATTTCCAGCAGAGAGTTTCACATTGTACCCATGCCTCAAGCTGAAGACATTTTTTCCAGCCCATTCCTCAATTCTTTTTGTGAAGACCACAGCTTATGCCTCTGACAGTGAATTGATCTAACCAATAAGTGTATTTTAAAAATATGGTTTGCTAAGAAAACTGAAAAATGATTTGGTGCTAAACTGACATTTTCTGAACTGCAGGATAAACCCAAGTATGTGCAGAAACGGATTGGAAAACTGCTGAAGGCAGGAGTGGTGTCGGCACTAGTGTGTATGACAAAGAAGGAGAGTCCAGCCCTGACAGATTCCTGCAAAGAGATGATTGCACGGTATGTGTGTGGTGTTAATTGAACTGTTGTTGGATAGGAAGATTCTCATAAAACTGTGCCATTGTTTATTGGCTTTACACATCAGCCTGGTTTATTGCTCAGAATTGACACTAACTTTGTAAGTTAGTGGCTCTTGGAAGGGTGACCCTGGTGGAACAAACATTTTTTAACCAAAGTCTAGGAGTGGTGCAAACACTTGTCTGTAAGCATTAGCTTTTCCTAAGATATATTTATTTTGGGGGCAGATGGTGCATTCAGTGACTAGCAAACAGACACTAATTATTGAGGTTTCTTAGTAGATTGTTTCGAGAGGTAATAGACTTGTTTGGAGGATTTAACCTAATCTGTGTATTTTAAAAATATACAGGAATTTTGATTTTATTGCCACTGATCCTGCCTATGACTCAGTCTGTAAATGTATTTATTACCTGGTGTAGTATTGAAGAGATGCCCCGTTTTTGTGGTTAGTGAGACCGTCGCTGAGAGTACTACTGTAGGAGCAGTTGTTACTCCTGTTCGGTCTGTCTCAACTTTACTAACTCCAAGCAATTGTTGAAAGGTGGGCTGGTGTCTAAAGCTTCAGAGGTTTGGACCCTTTAAGTCACTGTAACCAAGTAAAAGTTTTTTTTACTGATTTGTGGACTGCAGGTATCACTGGCTGGGCCAGAATTTATTGCCTGTTTCGAGTTGCCCTTCAGAAGTTAGTGGTGAGCTGTGTTTTTGAGCCTTTGCTGTCCATTTGGTGTAGGTAAACCCACAATGTCATTTGGGAGGGAATTCCAGGACTATCACCCAATGACACCAAAGGTACAATGATGTATATCCAAGTCAGGATGATGAATTATTTGGAAGTGGTGGTGTTCCCGTGTATATGCTGCCCTTGTCCTTCTTTTTGGTAATGATTATGGGTTTCGAGGGTGTAGTCTAAGGATCCTTGGTGGATTTCTGCAGTACATCTTCTAGCTGCTGCTACCAAATATCAGTAGTGGAGGGAGTGGATGTTTGTTAATGTGGTGCCAATCAAATTGGCTGCTCTGTCTTGGATGGTGTCAAGCTGTTGAGTGTTGAGTAGATGGTGGACAGATTTTGGGGAGTCATGCAGCGAGTTCTTGTTGCAGGGTTCCTAGCCTCTGATCTGCCCTTGTAGCCATAGTATTTACATAGCTAGTCCAGTTCAGTTTCTGGTCAATGGTAACCCCAGGATGTTAATAGTGAAGATTGAGTGATGGCAATGGTTGGATTCTCTCTTGTCTGGATCAATAGTTCTCTATAACCATCACCTCCCCCAAAGTCTTGTTACTGCTTTACATAGCAGCCCTGTAACACAGAGTGGAAACCCTGTAAGACTAAGAACTTCAAACCTTTCTGTATTTCAGTGTGTTCCTAGCTCTGGTAGAGACTCCAGAGGATCGTGGAATTGTGGTAGCTCAGGGTGGAGGGAAGGTGAGTATGAGCATGTTAACTCTTTGGGATTTCTCCATATCAGCGATTCTTGTCTTTTTATAAATGAACTGCATATAACAGTTGTAGGATACGAACTAGAGATAACAATGAAAGGTAACAAGGTTGTCAGAGAACAGTATTTCTTCTGAAATTGCTATCTGACACTAGAATATGATGTTGTGGGTGCCAATATCCTGCCCTTTTCACTCCAGTACCATTCTGTTTGGCAGTGTACCATGAAGTGAAGGCCATCATAGTCAACTTGATACACTGACTCTCAACAAACACACACATCACACACTTCCATAGAATATAAAGCACAGAAACAGGCACTTCAGCCCAGCTAGTCCAGGCTAATGTTTATACTCTGCATTGGCCTCCTCCCTATCTACTTCATTTTACTCCTTTCTCCTTTTCCTTTCTCCTTCATTTTTAAGCAGCACTTAGTTAATTAATAACAGCTATACTATTCACCTCAACTATTTGCTATGATAACAGTTGCTTCTTCCTGACCCCTCTCTGGGTAGAGAGGTTTCTCCTGAGTTCCCCAATGGATTTATTGATGACCATCTTATAATTATGGTTCTTTATTTAGAACTCCCAAAGGGAAATAACTCCTCAATGTAGAAATGGGAATTGTGTCTTATTGTTAATTGTATCTTTATGTTCAATTTTATGCAGGTCATGGGCACTAACCTGGGATTCATTTGAGTTCTTCTAAATAGACACAGACTAAGACAATGGTTGTCGAGTTAGTAGCTGTATCCATGTAATGTTCTACTCTGTAAACAGATAGAAGAAAACGTATTAAGATTGGCTCCAGTTCTATCTTTCACCAACTGGTTTCTGGAATAGAATGTCTTGTGAGGGATGTGTAACTTCTATATTTGGCACCCGTTGCCATGATTGGCTTCGGATTTGAATCATTGTACCTCGAATAAGCACGTTTGACAATGTAACTTATTACTACTACCTATCCTGTAGGCTCTGATTCCTCTGGCATCAGAAGGCACAGAAGTTGGCAAGACCAAGGCAGCCCAGGCTTTGGCAAAGATAACAATCACCTCAAATCCTGAGATTGCCTTCCCTGGAGAGAGGGTGAGTCTGGGGATTTATGTGCAGTGCCTTAGGATTTTTTTTTTTAGTATTGCATTAATTTCACAATTTTTAAAATAGTCTTATTTTCTGCATCTAAATATTCAGCAAGAAATTTCAAATATCGTTGATTCATTTAAAAAATGATGGTATAATGGACAAGAACTGGCCTTTCTCCATGGGAACTGGGATCAAATTCAGTTCTGATTAAGGGGATGGACGCCTCTGTCTGCACACTGCGAAGATTCATTGTAAAATGGGTTTGGATCGTCTTAATATAGTTACTAGTGAACATGGGTCCACAGCTCAGATCTGTCCCTAAATCACTATGTCATTCAAAGGTCCAAGGATGGTTGATCTCAAATATCACAGTGGCATGGTAAGGGACATGCTGCTGAGGTCAGAGGTGTGGCACATTGTTGATGCGTTATAAGTGGTGACTGATTAAACATTCTGCTTTTGCTGTTTATTCCCTCAGGTTTATGAGGTAATCCGACCGTTGGTCAGCCTTTTACATCTTGACCGTACCGGGTTGCAGAACTTTGAGTCACTGATGGCATTAACCAATTTGGCTGGTATTAGTGAGAGACTGCGGTAAGTGATTGAGTGAAAGGGTGAGACTGTGTTGGGGGAGGAGCTTCTCCAGTGGTTCAGTTGGATAAACGCAAATGAATAAATCAGCAACTTTATTAGTAACTCTTGCTCTCTTCCCGACTGGATGAAAAGGTTTCTTCACTCATGGTAAATCATTTCCCAGTTTGTCAAGTATCTCAATCTTTAATTAGGTTACCTTGATGTCTCCTCATAGAAAGGGCTGGATCTCACCTGCATTGTTGGCTGAGAGGGCGTTAGTCAACATCAAGCACGCAGCCTGCGATGTCCAGAACATTGTGTCTGACGTACTCAGCCCTGACACTGCATGGAAAATCAAAGTGGCCCAAGCTTGCCGAATGAACTAACCCCTGTCTGTCTGAAACTTGACATTGGCCCCGTAAACTGGACCTTCCTCTGGGGTGTGGCACCCCACAATTTGAGCGATGTTAGAGAAATTCCCCCCATGCCCTTCAGAACAGTATGGAGGCATCTCCTGTATTGCCACCTGCTGCATACTCTCCACTTCCTCACCTTTGTCCACTGCTCGGATACAGGCATAATGTTTTACCCTCCAGTGGTGGAAATGCCCAGTGGAGGGCCCTCCACAAAGAAGTCCAGCAATCTGAAGTGGAAAGTGCTACCTGCAGCAGTCCCATGCAACAAAAGGTACATCAATACATTGGGTGCCAGGTCACGTTGTTTTTGTGGCAGAGGAAACAGTTTTACACATTAATGCTGAATGTTTTCATTTGCAGCCCCTGTGTAGTTAATTGAATTTCTAAATTTTTAGTTGGACTTCAGCCCCACTCTCTTGATTTATGGGCACCCTGTGTAGAGAGGGATGGACAGGTCACAGGGCCTGCTGTTTGGTTGGGACAAAGTACAAAGAACCCCTTCGTAACATCTGCCTGGGCCTTGTAATGGCTACTTTCTCACAGTTACATCTGCGCTCGGGTGTCTGTTGAGAGGGAGCATGCGGTGTTCACTGGCATGATAGAGGCCTTTAGAGATTAGTGGGTACCGCAGGGGCTGGATGCATTATCACTCCTGACAGTGTTATTTTAATCTAGTGAATTTCCATTCATCTTAAGTAAGTTCCTATTAACTGTTTGTGATTTTTGTTACAGTGCCCCTTGAGAGCTATTTCGCCTGATCAATTTGTTTAAGAGCGTGGAAAGGAAACAACTCTATTTCCTTTGAATCCTTTGCTTCTGTTTGCTTTCGTTTGTATCCTTTCCTAGCACCAAACTTTTCCTGTGGTAAAGTGACCACATGTCAGAAGCATTTGATCAGCTGTAATGTGCTTGTAGGAATGTCCTTACGTCATGAAACACACTAAAATTTCACGTTTGTCAGTCTTAAGTAAGCAGAGCTGCCAGTGCTGAGGAACTTCAGATGGCTGAGTGTGTGCAAGTCCTAAGTAAAATTAAATTTAGTACATTAAGCAAATTAAACTTCGCATTCAGAGGACTTCCCCAAAGCCTAAACGGATAGCAGTCCCTCAGAAACATGCTGCAGTGGGTGCCAAGACTTGCAGCCAAAATACTAGAGTGGGTTTTGCCTCAGCAACTTGCTGACTCTGGTGACAGTGCTATTTCCTCGGTCAAGGCTGGCACTAATTGACTGATTGATCTCTTGACTTCTTTTAGGCAGAAGATTATTAAGGAAAAAGCCATTCCAATGATTGAGAGCTACATGTTTGAAGACCATGAGATGATCCGACTGGCAGCTACTGAGTGTATGTGCAACATGGTCCTGAGTGAGGAGGTGCGTTAGTGCTGCTTTCTCTAAACTTCACTGCATTGTGATCTTTGGCTGTTAGAGTTTCTGTCGTGGTTAGATGCATTTTCCAAATATGGTATGCTTTATACCACATCAAGAAAGAACAAGATACAATCCCCACTTTTTTTGCTAACTCAAGTGGGGCAGCAGCTGTAGGAGAAAAACCAGCCCAGATGTCTGGTCATGATGACTATCCAGTACTAATGTAGGAAACCTCTGTGTTTGGGCAATGGGTCGATTTCCGAGCATTGAGTACTTTGCTGACACTCGGTGTCTTATGCCTGTAATAGTCACATGGTGGCATACAAAGACCTCTGTTGCAGACAAATGTTTTCCAATGAGAAAATACCTTGAAAAAGTGACTAGCCAAAAAGAGACTGTTTCTTTGGATTATTGGTTTGTTGGGAAGGAAAAGTAATTTTCATCGTTTCTTTTTGTTTGGATTTTGTTTCAGGTGCAGAATCTGTTCTTGGCCGAAGGGACAGATCGTCTGAAACTGCTGGTGTTGTACAGTGGTGAAGATGATGAGAAGTTGAGGTGTGCAGCTGCAGGCGCTGTAGCCTTCTTAACATCACTGCAGCCAAAACTCTGCACCAAAATGACGCAGGTGGTGAGTAACTACACACCCTGCTGCACTCTGGGTCTTCAGTGTACTGTTCTTGACAATCATCCTCGTTCCATCTTACTCATTCCTTACCTCCTTGCATCTTCCATACTGCTAGCAATCTGCTACTCTCTATTCCCAAGGGTGCTGAGATGCAGATATTTCTGTGCTCACTCTCTCTTTCTCTTTTCCCACACCTACACACATCTACGTTATTCTGCCCAAATGGCATTCTTCACCTGTGAGCCTAGACCATATCTGTCAGCAAGATATTTGACAAAGGAGAGTGTCAGGAAAGAACCTAAACTTATTGTCACCTGACCTCACATTTCAGCAGGGAGTTCTGATTAGTGGTCAAAAATGGGATTCCTAGCTGTCGTTGCTAATTCAGTTCCCAATTGGAAACTAATATAAGGGCTAATTGTACTTCCTATTGCTACCACCCTCCAGAGCTGTTCCTTTATTCATTCACAGGATGAGGGTGTCTCTGGCTAGGCAGCATTTATTGCCCATCCCTAATTGCCCAGAGGACAGTTAAGAGTCAACCACATTGCTGGTCTGGAGTCACAGGTAGATCAGACCGGATAAGGTTGACAGTTTCCTTCCCTAAAGGACATTAGTGAACCAGATGGGCTTTTCCGACAATCGACAATATATTCACAGTCACCGTTAGATCCTTAATTCTAGATATTTATTGAATTCAAATTCCACCATCTGCTGTGGCAGGATTCGAACCGGGGTCCTCAGAACATTATCTGGGTTTCTGAGTTAACAATCTAGCAATAATACCATTAGGTCATTGCCTCCCCCATTTGTTAACAGCAAAGGTTGGAGATTGGACCTTTTGATGTTCAGTAATGCAGGCTTTTCTTCTGAAAGCAAGTGAGGGCACAAGTATTGATCAGAAAGCTTCAGGATAAACATTTGCAAAGTCAAATAAAAGAGAATTTGGTGATCAGATCTGGGCCCTTCCAATACTGTCACAAATTGATAGTGAGTGGCAACTGATAATAGTTCAGGAAGTGAGAATTCAACAATATTTGGCTTTTCATGACAAGAAATGGGTTTTTAAATTTCAATTTTTGGTTGTGCTGAGAATATTTCACTTCCATGGAAATCTAAGCCAGTACAGATAGCACTGGCTTTCCAGACAGAATGCAGTGTTCTGTTAACAGCCTCAATAGGTTTAAATATGGAGTTTAGGAAACCACAATTATAGATACCTATGGACATCAATGATGGTGGTGAATGTGCAGCCCCTTATATAAAGAGCCAGTAGTCCCCAGGTTTCATTCTTGCTTGTGGAAAGTCAGTTGACCTCACCTGACTGTGGTGCTTTGACTGGCCTCTGTATCCTTGGCTAGACAGAACAGGGGAGAGGATAAATCATTGCCCTTGGTCATTATCAAATGACTTATGCTTAAAGGCTGAAGTAGTCCAGTGAAGAAAACTTGCATTTCCACACAGCAAGCTCGCACTGAGACCAATGAGGTAATGACCACATAATCTGTTTTGGTGATGTTGAGGGATAACTGTTGGCCAGGATACAAAATTGTATAGTGGGACATATTCAGAAGATAGAACTGCAGGTTAATGTCTCATCTGAAGGACACCTCTTCTAAATGTGGGAGTGGGATTTGAACCTAGAATCTACTGACTTGACACCTGTGTTAAACATGTCCCACAGTCAAATAACTTGTTGATGTGTAGACTCTGATCAGAGAAGAGTAATAAGAGCAGCTGGTGACTGTGAAACTCATGAGGAATGATTGATGGAAACTTAAGTGCCATGGTACTGTACTCTGCCCCATCTGTTCCTTTTGACACAAATTTGCACTGCAGCTGAAAGTTACATCCTTGTGCTTTCCTCTCTCTCCCCTCCGTCCCCTGCAACAGACAAGCCACTGGTTGGAGATCCTTCAAGCACTTGTGCTGAGCTCGAATGTCGACCTGCAACACCGAGGGCTCGTCATCACTCTCAACTTAATAAATGCAGAGCGGGAGCTTGCAGCTCTGCTCATGGAGACGGAGATGTTCGAAATCTTGTCTGTTCTGAGCAGGGATGGAGATGAAAAGAAACGCAAGTTGTCAGCTGCTGCCCAGGATTGTCTTACACAAGCAGTGGAGTACGGACTAATAAAACCCACTGAGGAGGAGACCAGCCCTTAGTGAAGGCAAATGCAGGACATTCTAGAGACACATGAACAAGCTTTCAGACAAGGAACACTCTCACTGTGTGAAACACTGCTCATTGCTAATGTTTGGGTGTTAAACAATTCTGCACAATGTTTTTATATATGGCAGTCTGTTGGATCTTTCAATTACACTAGTTTATTGTGAGGGGTACCAACGGGATGTGGCACCTGTAATATATAATGAGGTATTGAAAAAATTTAATTCAGTGTCAAAATCCTTCAGGGAAAAGAGCTGTTATGGTTCAGAATATTTATCATAGTTCCCTTGTGCTCACCTCTGCAGCAGATGTTAGCTTTTACTCATCCTGTGTATAGTTGAACCCTCTGATCCGTAGCCCCAGTGACCACTCGTTGATTTTGTAGATGGGGTCAGTCAGCAAACTAATTGACTACATAGGCTATTGTAGACCATGACCTTGACCTGCTTCTGGTCTGGCTGGGGAAGCTGGGATATTTTGAGCAGAATATTTCAGAGATTTCTCATTTAGGTCATTGCATTTTTATTGCATCCACTCAATATTTTACACATTGTCAATTTGGCTTAGCTTGTAACATTTCATTATACTGGCTTTGAACTTCAAATCACAATGTGATTATCTAATGTGCATTGCCACTGAGGAGTTCAACAAGAGTCTTAGTGGAAAGAACTCGGACTATGATTCATCTTTGGAGTCCATCTGGGAGTCAATATCTGAATTTCACAACAGAAGCTGCTCCATATGAATATTAATCTTTTAATGTGAATGCAGACTTAGTAGCTTCCCATAAACTAGTTGCCTCTATGTGGTGAAATGATTAATCTGTTTAATTATCAAAATGAGCTTCATCGACACTCTACGCCTTGCACATTCACTGTTTTTCACATCATCAATCTTTGTCTTTTAATGTAACACATCGGTATTGATGTCTTGTGTTCAAGTAACTAGAACTACTCAAAGTTTGGCCTGCGAGATGTTGATTATGTCAGTTGCAGGCTAGTGTCTTTTATATTTAGGATGAGATGCATGTGAAACAGACAGACAACAGCAGCTTGTTCATCAGCAAGCCTAGTGGATGGACCAACAGGGCTAAATTGTTTTTCCCTTGCATGACCTCTTGTCCATTCCCCCAACCAATCCGAATCCAAATGGGTCCATGAAATGGCATGGACCTGGTCTCAACAAAGACATTTCTGGATAATATAGTGTGTATTCCAGAGCGGAATTAATGCAACTCCTTCTTAAAGATGTGTAGAAATCATTAGCTGTCCAACCAGATGGCAACTCCTAAATGTTTGCCCTTTATTTGAATTTGACTTGATTTGCTGTTCTATTGTCACATGTACCTAGGTACAGGGAAAGGTTTTGCTTGTTGTACAGGCAGATCATATCATCAGAAGTCTGATAACTGGGAGGAAGAAGCTGTTCTTGAATCTGTTGGTATGTGTGTTTAAGCATTTGTACCTTCTGCCTGATGGAAGAGGTTGGAAGAGATAATAATGGGAGTGGGAGGGTTCTTTGATTTTGTTGTCTGCCTTCCTATGGCAGAGAGAAATATAGATGGAGTCAATGGATGGTAGGTTGGATTGCATAATGGACTTTAATCTATACAGGTTCAGTATGTATGGGATTTCACTGAATGTCAACTTGTTTACAGTCTGAATTCAATGCATCCAAACAATAACACATAATTCAAGGGTTTAAAATTCTATTAGTACATCCAGCACAGCAGTGCAGGAAGTGGCTGAATGACCTCACTTTGTGCTCAGAGTAAATCATGTTGTTGACATTGTATCACCAGGCAAGGGACTCATCCAATTAAACTTCAGGAAAGCTTTAAAATTACTTGCGTCAGAAGATTAAAGCACAGCAAAAGGCCCATCATGTATATGAAGAGGTAGTTTTACTAGATTTTAGATATTTTCTAATCACACTGTTCAGATATGTTATTACACACCTTGAGTAGATGCAACTTGAACCTGGGCCTCTTGACTCAGAGATAGGGACACAAAACCTTGCCAAGAGCCCTCCTTTCACTAGTTTTTACAGCAATTTAAAAATCACTATCATTGTATATATTGCCCAAATTAACACATTCCTTAGGAGGCAAAATACTTTAAAGTAATCATAAGAATTCATATGTTATCCCGGTTCAATTTGATGATCGTGCTCTGTATGCAATTCAACATTTCTATGTATTGTACCAGAATGTATATCCCTATCACTCTTTTTACAAGTCTTGTTTATTATGCTGTAAAGTGCAAAGGTAACACAATACACGACTTCTATGTACATTCCTTCTAGTAGAAAGTACTGCTACAATTGTATAAATAATCAGCAATAAAGTCACTTTTTGCAGCAGTCAACTGTATGGGTATGGTGCAGTGGCTTCTGGGAGTGAGGTCGGTTGGTTTCGCTCTGCCTGATGGGAGTGAGGTCTTTGCGAGGTGGTTTCTGAGTCTGCGCGTTTAGGGTTTCGTGAATTTGGTGGGCGCCAGCCCCTACGGCAATGGCGGCGATGCCTGGCCGCTGGTTTGGCTTCGGGTTTAATCAGTTCGGGCAGGTCGTCAACCGGAGGGAGTGCGAGGGGGACGGGAAGGTACTGGAGCCCGTCACGGTGACCGTCCACAGCCTGGGGAAAGCCGGACAATGGCCGGCGGGCGGATCCTGCCTGAGGAAGCTGAGCCCCGCTTGGAGTCACACTGCCTGCCTGGGAGGTTAGGACCTGGAGGCTTCAAGGGGGAGGGAGAGGGCCGAGCTTGGGGGCGGGGCAGGGTGGAGTCTTGGAGGGGGTGGGGTCTCGGGGGTGAGGGGGTGGAGTCTCGGGGGGGAGGGGGGGGGGTCTCGGGGGGGAGGGGGTGGGGTCTCGGGGGAGAGTCTCTGGTGAGAGGAAACAGAGTCTCAGGCAGGGAATGACTGGTGGCAATTCTCAGGTGGGGAGGGTGTCTCAGATGAGGGGGTTCTCAGGTGAGGGACTTCAAGACGTGGGAGCAACAAGGAGGCCATTCAACCCATCAAGTCTGCTCCATCACTCAATGAGATCACGGCTGCTCTAATCATCCTCAACTCTACTTTCCTGCCTTTTCCACATAAGCCTCGGTTGTATTAGTGATTAAACATCTGTCTGTCTCAGCCTTGAATATAGGCTGATGCTGAGGAAGGAATCACTGGTGGTAAAGAGGCTGTCTCATGATGAAGGTGATCCAGGTGAGAGTGGAATGTACACAGTGAGCATGTATCCTTTAGTTGAGTCTACAGGTGTCTCAACAAAATGGGCAAGAACATGGCAAATGGATTAGGATTTCGGGGAGTATGAAGTTTTCAATTTTTCCTTCCAAAACAACTGAACAGAATTTTTAAAAAATTGCTGGAGTTTGGAAAATGTTTGCATTTGGACTGATTTAGGTATCCTTGTACATAAGGCTAGTAGTTATATTCAGGCACAACAGCCAATTCTGAACATACAAATTAGGAGCAGAATTAGGCTATTCAGCCCTTTGAGCCTGCTTTGCAATTTCATAAGATCATGCCTAATCTGCACCCCCCCCCACCCCGTTACTATCTTGACATTGCACCTTCTGCGGTATTTTGATTTTATTCCCCATTTTTATACATCATTCCTTTTTGAAATAAAGCAGTGGAGGAGTTATTGATCAGCTAAGGGAGGGTGGTAGGTGGCAATCATGAGGTTTTCTTCCTGGTATTTGATGTTGTGCCATGAGATTTCATAGGGACTGGAGTCACTATTGAGGATTCTCAGGGCTACATCTTCCCAAATATACCACAGTGTTGTGTGCTTCCTTAGGGATGTTACTCCATATCCCTTGATTCCCATATCTAACAAAATCTATATCTATCAAGTTTATTAAAGCTAGCCAATGCTTTGTTTCAATATACTGTTTTCTGCATCTTGGCCCATTACACCTGCAAATGAGCAATGCTTCTATTAAGGTGAACTTGGCCCATTGGAAATGTATTGGAATGATGCTTGGATCAGTGCTTTTAAGGAGAAGAGGGGAAAAAAGAACATGTTTACAGGTTAATACCATTGAATGATTTTATGGTCCATTCTGCTCTTTTTGCAGGTCAGAATAAATCCAAAGAAAACATTCCATCTCATTAACTTGTTTCAGTTTTGTTTCAGATGATGGATCTATTTATGTGTTCGGCTTTGTTGATGGTCGCCCTTGGCAACAGATGTGCATTGTTAACCAAGCCCATCGGGGTTGCATGGACATCCTATCCTCTGAGAAATACTTGTTAATGTTATGGCAGGACAGAGTGGAATGCAGGGATATCCAGAACCTTTCTACTGGAGAGGTCGAGGGTGACTTGATTTGGGTGAAGCAACTGAAGGACAGGGAAAAGCAGTGTACAGGTTGGTAATTTAAATGCAGTGCAAGCTTTTCACCTGCTCCTATTCTACTGCTTTCTTTTGCTTTTTATATCCACGTATTTTCTGCCTCCTTGTGGTATTTCCTTGCTTATATTTTAACATAGGTGCAAGTGGTTCTCTAGTACTGACCCACATGCCTCAGTGTCACTAGGGGTTCTGAATTGCCCCCTATTTGCATATAGTCTCTAGATGCTGGGTTTGGAGCACTTGACTTCTGGCTTTTTTTCCATGGGCCTATTTCTTCCGTCCTCTTGCAGGTAGTATAATTCAAGTCAATTGTAATAACCTTACCAACTGAGACCAACACAGTCAGCAGAGATGGGATCGAACTTTCAAGTGTGTGGAACTGAGCTGCTGATTACTATAACTGAGTTAATCAAATCTTGTAGTCAGAGATTCTTGCCAATTTTTCAAAAATTTCCCAAGTATCAAAGGGTCTTCAAGTAGGTTTCTCACCACATACGTATGATAGAGAGATTGAAGTGGGTTGGGTGTTTTTTTTGGAATTAGATGCTGCTGGTTCATGCTTTCATAACATTTCAAATTTGTTTCAATGAAGTATTAATAATAAATAAGTGTCAATATAGCTGTGGTGCTTACAGTGTGGCAGTCAGAAGATTTGCTGCTTTTTGTTTTTTAGCTTCAATTTAAGACCATTGAAAGTCTGCTGTGCAGCTCAAGCTGAGAATCTAACACCTATCTTGTACTGGGAGTGTTTGATGCAGACAGTGTTGAGGACATGTACTTTCTGTTTAAAAGAGTAGAGAGAGCTTTACTTTGTATCTGACCCTGTACTGGGAGTGTTTGGGGACCGTGTAGAGGTAGTTTTATTTTCAGCTTAAAAGAGTAGAATCTAAGACATTACCAGCAAGACATCTTAGACCTGTCCTAGCGTCTGTATGACGAATGAGAGTACCCCTATTAAAGTGACACTGTGTATTTGAGTTAAGTTTGTTTTCTGTACCTTTGTGTGGGGAAGCCTGCGGAGTGACATTAACTGACATGAACTGGAAAATCACAGGCGAAATTCAACACGTCATTTGTAATAGCACATTGGTCAGTGCAGCCCTTGAGTAAGGCATTTGGTAAGATTGTAGCTCTTGACTTTGATAATGAATAATACTGTCCTACAACAATTGTTGCACCAACTGAATTAGCTAACTCATTTATTGAGTACTTGTATCTAAAACTAAATGAATGATTTCTGATTGAATTGGAAAAAACAGTTCTTTCATTCAGAGCTAATGTGTTGTGATAATAATTCCTGTAGAGGTAAGTTGAGTGCTTTGTACAACAACCAACACAAAATCCCATTGCTGAGAGCAACATTTAAACTGAATTGGTAATAGTTGAAAGGATATTCACTGGCTTATTATCTCAGTAAAGCAGCCGTATAAACATGCTGTACAGTGAATTTGATTCTTCTGTGCAAATGTCATAACACAGTTCATGCTGTAGTGTTATCTCTTCTGCCATGAGGAAATGGAAGGAATTAATTGGGAGTGGTTCCTGGTGATGTATTAACTCCAGTTTAAATCAGTAGGAGATGACTTTGTGCTCTCCTCTCATTATTCAAGATGTGCAATTGATTTATGCATCAAGTAACACCTCAAAGAGAATTCAACCTGATGTGGCTTGCTTGTTAAATACATGGCTGAGATTAATAACAGGTCACAGGACCTGACAGTCCCTGATTTTGTGCCAAGATGGTGGGGGTGCTATACTTTGCATTACTCTTCCTAAATTAGGAAGCAAGAGGAGAACCTAAACCTGCTGTAAAATTGCAGCATGTCTCCTAGAAAATTTATTGTGAATACATTAACCTTCTTTTACTGTTGCTGATGGACCTATACATTTCCAGTTTGTGTTGCAGATCGAAAGAGCTGGTTAATGATTAGGAATGGCAACTTGGGCTGAGTTACTGCAGTCTGGCCCAGGGTCACAGAGACCATTAATAACACCTATTTTTCGTCCAAATGAATTTATTAACTCAGTGAAGACCAAGGTCTTCTCTGCACGTTTTTGTCACTTTGTGTAGTTTTTCTAATTAGCAGGGAATGCCAAGGTAAAACACTTTTTTTCTCCCTCTGTTTTCCCCCTCTAAGCACTTCCACTGATCCCTGATGGTTATGTCACAACAACTCTTCCATTTTACAAACCATTGGCACCACAACTTCGTGCAAGAAAGCTGGCACTTGGCAGTGAGCATGCAGTCCTCCTAAGCAGTGATTTTACAGTGTATTCCTGGGGCTCAGGAAGGTAAGCCTTACTCTGTAGCTATCTATATACTGGTATATCATTGGCCAATTTTCTTGATTTTAGACTCAATATAAACAGTTGTTAAAAGGATTCAGTAGCAACCAAGAAGTTGGTTTAAATCTAGTAATTAAAATGTATTTTTGTACCTAGCCGTAAGGGATCAGTGTGTTACCCGTGTGGGTTAAAACACTCTTTTGCCTAAATTTGAAGTGATGATGGAATTCCCATTTGTCATTAGTGACCATAACAAGCTGATGCAAATTAAAATGATTCCTTATATAGTATCATGTCAGTTTCTGACTTTTGTAATATTAAAGGTGGTTATAAAATTACATGTTGTGTTGGAAATTAGAGTCTCTAATTTTGGTTTAAATTCAGTGGTAGTGGTTAGATATTCTGAAAATAGCTCAGATCATTGAATAATATCTCCCATATTAATATTAATATTTAATATTGATTCTATCTTTAAAATCAGTTCTGCTTCAGCTTTCAAACCATTATTTCATTCTTTGTTATACATGATAACATCTTTGTTATCGTATTTAATTATACTATCCTGTACGTTAAGGATTTTTACATTGTTTGATATTAGACCTGGTACATTTTGTCCTAACTTGTGGAAATATACTCCTGACCGCAGCAGCAATAACGTGAAAGTTACAATTTGGACTTGGATTAAGAAATGTGGCTTTGACTGGTTTAAATTTAGCCATCCAATAATTATGCACCTAAAATACCATTAACTAATTAAATGAAATCAACAAAATGAGCATTCTTGATGGTCCATCAAGAAAATGAAAGCCACAAAAAGCAGAAGGTCTAGTTTGGTTGCTTGTTTCTGCTGAGTTGATTGATCACAACCAGCCTAATTAGATGTGACCACTGAATGATTGCCCTTGAGCCATGTGAAAAGTACCAGCCAGTGTTCCAAATGCTGTTTAATATCCACTGAACCTTACAGAAATTGAACATGTTTTGACAGCATTGGACTTGGCCATAATGAAATTTCAAGCATAAATAACCTGCTGGCATTAATTATACAGACTCGTGAGCACCACTAGAAAAGTACAGCAGAACCTTCAGCATATGGGAAAGAGAATATTTGGGGGAGAAATGAAAACTGAGCTGCTTTCAATTTGGAAAATGCTTGTGATTGTTGCTGTGGCACTGATTTGACATCTGTATAGGTGCTGTGATCTTTATTAACATACCATTGACAGCATTGTATGGTAAATTTAATTGAGAATACATCTCCTCCTCTTAAACATACAGCTATTTCAACCTATTCGCTAAATACATCCATCATTCCATATTTCCCATCTTTGAAAGTATCATCAGTATCACCCTTTTCTGCTATGGTGTCACTCCTACTGTTGATTGTTTTTTATCTGTGAAACCTCTTGGGAGATTTACTTTGGGAAAGATCTTTGAAGGTTGTTGAAAATACCCAAACAATGCTTGTTTTTCACCATAGTGATATTTTTGCAGGCATGGTCAGTTGGGACATGGTGGTGTTGAAGATGAAGCAGAACCACGTATTGTGGAGGCACTACATGGTCTGGCAATGGCTGAAATAGCAGCAGGAGGCTGGCATTCTGTGAGTTCAAGTGGTAAGGTTTGTTGCTGCAGTAACATCTTAATTTACAATATATTTATAGACACCTGAACTTCCTCCCACACGCCCGTCTCTGACACTGGTATTTTGTAGTACTGGAGACAAACAGTGGTGCGGTTTCTATTCCTATACATAGGAGTACTATGTCAATGTCCTCACTGTTGCCTGCTGATAAGGTGTACATCTCTATGCACTGATGGCAGACCCTGCTTTTGATGGTATAGTAACCAAGTGTTTAATTGTATTCAGATAGTGGACTTGAGCTGGGGATTTATTTGATCACCTATAAATAGAAGACTCTGGTTGTTGAATTTGGCCCCTGTTCTATCCTTCATTGTCTTTATGTCTGAAACTGACTGTTACATCTACAAGACTGTGCCAAAACAACTTTCCCTCTGGTTTCTCCTCCTTTGCCTCTGCTGATATTGAGACATGCTGGATCATCACATACCCCTGGTACCTCATTCATGTGACCTATATGTGAGCCTGTGGTAGCTGAATGTTCAACTAGAGAAACCATATCAGTTGCACCAGATCCTGTCCTTATCTCATTGTCCAGGGATGGCCATTTCCAGCAGCAGTTTTAAGATCTTTTTCTGCTCTATATAATCCAGTACAACGCTATGTATTTATCCAATAATAGCAGTTTCTAAAGTAAATTGTTTAGGAATGACAGTGGGGTATCATAGTTGTTTAGGGCTCTCTCAATAACTGAGAAACTACAGGAATCTAAAGCACAACTGTTAAAAAATCTACTCAGAGATAGTAGAAACTGCTGATGCTGGAGTCTGAGATAACAAGGTGTGGAGCTGGATGAACATAGCAGGCCAGGCAGCATCAGAGGAGCAGGAAAGCTGACGTTCCAGGTCTGGACCCTTCTTCAGAAATGGGGGAGGGGAAGGGCGCTCTGAAATAAGTAGAGCAGTGATAGAAGGTAGATAGTGGAGTGGATAGGTGGAAGAGAAGACGGACAGGTCAAGGAGGTGGCGATGAAGCTAGTAAAGGTGCGTGTAGGTAGGAAGTGGGGATGGGTGTTGGTCAGTGAGGAGGAAGGGGCAGATAGGTGGGAGAGAAGACGGACAGGCCAAGGAGGCGGGGACAAAGGGGGTGCTGGTCTTGGGATGAGGTCGGGGGTGGGGAGATTTTGAACTGGTAAAGTCCACATTGAGACCATTGGGTTGTAGGCTTCCAAGGTGGAATATGAGGTGCTGTTCCTCCAGTTTCCGGATGGCATCTTTGTGACACTGGAGGAGGCCCAGGATGGACATGTCATCCAGGGAGTGGGAGGGGGTGTTGAAGTGGTTCGCGACTGGGAGGTGTTGTCTGTCACGAACTGAGCATAGGTGCTCCACAAAGCGGTCTCCGAGCCTCCGCTTGGTCACCCCGATATAGAGGAGACCACATCGGGAACAGCGGATACAATAGATTCCGAGCTCCCGCTTGGTCTAAAAGTCTAGATGTTTAACCTCATCTGCCATTGGCATATACTTAAATGTGTAAGTCTGGTTTATCAATATATTTATTTATAACTTGCCATTATCTGTCATTTTATTTTTTTTAAATCCCTTTAGCATCAGGAGATCTTTATGTTTGGGGATGGAATGAGTCTGGACAGTTGGGACTACCTGCCAAGTCATGCTCAGAGGAGAAGCATCGGAAGACCCCTCAGCAAAAGAGACTCTCGGGAGAGGGTAAGATGAGAATTATTGTGTACCTCCGAAAAGTAAGAATATTTTCAACAAAAATTGAGTTGCAAGATTTGCTCTTGCTATGCTACATATTCCCTCTCTACATTGATGTTTTACACTCTTGATAAATACTGTTGTGTAGTGCAACCTAAGGATGACTGTTTGTTTTATGTATAGTCCAAAGACTGACTGGGTCACTTTAATGATTGGTTGGCAAGTCAACTCTGGTAGACTTGTTGCTAAGGCAAATGCACCAGTTAACAATGACACTCAGCCTCGTTTTAACATTTAACCCAGACAGGTTGATTCTCATTGGTCAAGGCATTGAATTTACACAGTAGAGGACAGCAGTAACTCCTTACGTAAGGAAGCATGTACTTGCCATAGAGAGAGTGCAACAAAGAATAAACAAACTAATCCCTGGGATTGTAGGATTGTCCTGTGAGGAAGGATAGAGGAACCCGAGTCTGCATTCTCTAGAGTTTTGAAGAATGAGAGGTGATCACATTGACACTTTGAAAATTCTTACGGGGCGTCACAGGGATGTTGATAAAATGTTTCTCCTGGCTGGAGAGTGTAAAACCAGGAGGCATAATCTCAGAATAAGGGTAGACTATTTAAGACTGAAATGAGGAAGTTCCTTACTCAAAGGGTGGTGAATCTTTGGCATTCTGTACCCCAGAGCACTGTGGAAGCTTAATAATTGAGCATTTTCAAAACAGAAATTGCTAGATTTTGGACAATTAATTAGATCAAGGAATACAGATAGAGTATGGGAAAGTGGCATTGAGACAGATGATCAGCCATGGTGTATTTGAATGGTGGAGCAGGCTTGATAGGCTGAATGGCCATCTTCTGTTCCTGTGCTCTGATCTGGTAGACATGTACATTTTCAAGCAGAATTTCTTGATTGGGAGAGAAAAATGCTTGAATTCAAACGTAGCTAACTCTGATGAGTGACTGTCAATTCTGAAACCTCTCTGGTCAGTATGACCATTAAGACATAGGAGCCACAGCAACATTCGGCCCATCAAGCCTGTTCCACCATTCCCTTATGACTGATCTGAAAATCCTCAACTCCACTTTCCAGTCTTATCCCCGAAATCCTCCATTCCTTTACTAATTAAAAATCTATCTCAGCCTTGAATTTTTGTTTTCTTTATTCATTCGCGGGATGAGGGCATCGCTGGCTAGGCAGCATTTATTGCCCATCCCTAATTGCCCACAGGCAGTTAAGAGTCAAACACATTGCTGTGGGTCTGGAGTCACAAGTAGGCCAGACCAGGTAAGGGTGGCAGTTTCCTTCCCTAAAGGGCATTAGTGAACCAGATGGGTTTTTCCCAACATTCGACAATGGATTCACGGTCATCATTAAATTCTTAATTCCAGATATTTATTGAATTCAAATTCCAACATCTGTTGTGGCGGGATTTGAACCTGGGTCCCCAAAATGTTATGTGGGTCTTTGAATTAATCAGTCCAGTGATAATACCACTAGGCCATCACCTCCCCCGTACAGACATTTTTTTCGATGGTGTGGCTCAACTGGTTGCTCTGTTAATTAGCCGAGTCATCCATGTCCAAATGTCTGAATGCTTTAACAATGTGCTACTATCTCAGATTCCGCCATGCCCCTTGGTATTACAGTATTGCCTCCAAAAGTAAGTCACACATTAGAGGCAGTCAAACACTCAACCCATTGAAAGTCACGAAACTGTTCAAGAATGGTGATTTCACTGCCTTGGTCCAAAAGCTCCCATTACATTTGTTATCGTGCCAGTCTTTTTGACTCTCACTGAGTTCTCAGCTTGTCTCTACAGAACGTTGTCCTTGGAAGAACCACCCTGCAAAGTTACAATATTAACAAATGTAAGAAATTAGCATGTGTAGAATAGTGTTGAAGTTATTCAGACCGAGTAGGTACTAGTGATCCTTGTGTAGTTGCAGCATTTGCCCCAATATAGAAATGGGACAGGTTGAGCACAATGGGAACTGACAAATTACACTATGACTTCTTTACTTTTGATATGATTCATTTTATGGCCATCATTTTTCATGTTAGTTTTTTTATAAAACAGCCACTTTGTTTCTCAGGGTTAGCTGATGTTTACATTAAACTTAATCTTTGATTTTTAATCTTATACACAGTCACACCATCCTTGAGTGAGGCAAACAACACGGTTATAAAATCAGCAAATAAGATAACAGCTTTGGGTGATTCTAATGTCTTCATCTCAATTCAAGCCTTTCCTGCATTGCTGGATTTACCAGAGGAGTTAGAGGTCAGCAAGGTCAGCTGTGGGTCACGACATAGTGCGGTCATCACCAGTAAGTAACAATTGGCACTGAGTGCCAATAGTATTTTTGGCTTGATAAATTGGCTTAAAGAAAATGGATTTTGTTTTGAGAGTTTCTCAGGATATAACCAATAAACTCCATTATAAAACAAGTCACTTTAATGTTGTGGTAATGTGGAATTTTAACATTAGGAGAGTCTGTCTCTTTCCATGCTGTCTAAATGAGGTGGTTAACTCTGAAGGTTACCTGATATCACTCATGACTGAAATTTGGATCTCCTAGTAAGAATGAAGTATAATAGTCTATTTACCACATTATTGATTTGAAGATAACAAGCTGATTTCAGTTTCACACACCATTGGTAGTGAGCAGAAAATCTACTCCAAGAAGGAGGGCTGAAAACTAAAAATGAGAAGAATGAGCTAGAACTACGAAACAGGACTAATTCAATAAAGCTGATTAATATTTGAGACATTACCATGTCTTTCTAGCACTTTGAATCTGTGGTAAACTGTCATAGCAATTTCAATAAAGCTCTTGGGCCTTATTATTTGAATACACTGCCTATGGGATAAATCAGTGAAGATTAGCCTGTTCTTAAAATTATAAATGATTTATTTCATTTCTTTCATGATGTGGAGGCAGTATTTATTGAGAACTTTAATGCTATCACTAATGAGCCTTAGAACTTGAACTTACAATTGAAATTTTAATTATGAACTTGGTAAAATGTGATCTAACTTTCAAACTTCATATGTGTCAATAATATTGATTTTAACATTGAAGTGTCTCAAAGACTCTCAAAGTTTCATATGAATTAGGAGCAGGAGTAGGCCTTATTCACAGTTCACTGGGGTAATGTACTGGAAATCAAGGCACGGTGGCTCAGTGGTTAGCACTGCTGCCTCACAGTGCCAGGGACCTGGGTTCGATTCCACCCTCGAGCAACTGTCTGTGTGGAGTTTGCATATTCTCCCCATGTCTGCGTGGGTATCCTCCGGGTGCTTCGGTTTCCTCCCACAGTCCAAAGGTGTTCAGGTTAGATGGATTGGCCATGCTAAATTGCCCTTAGTGTCCAGGGATGTGTGGGTTAGGTGGATTAGCCAGGGGATAGGGTAGGGGGGGTGATTCTGGGTGGGATGCCCTTCAGAGAGCTGGTATGGACTTGTTGGGCCAAATGGCTTGTTTCCACACTGTAGGGATTCTATGAATCTATTCCTGGAGTCATACGGTAATGGAAATTTGATTAAACCATGGAATTGTCCAACTGCATCTACCTCACTGATTCAAGTTTTAAAAATATACACACCAGGTTTTAATTATTAACAAGTAAATAACCATTTTCTGTAATTGAACCATTTTGAACTAATGGCCAGAAAGAAACATGAATTGCTAACTTATAACTCTAACTTAAACTCAGCCTTTTTTTAAAGTTCCCATGTACACACAAATAGACACACAATGAGCCAAGAGAAAACACCAGTATTAAGGGTTGAGAGGGAGTAAAAAGTCTGAAACGCAGTTCTGGCACCAGTCCAAATCACAGACGTCAATGACTTGTTTTCTTTTGATTCCGTTTGGTTCTTCGCTAATAACACAGGGTTGTGGATACACTGATCCTCGGTCTGTCATTACCTGAGGATTCACCGTATCAGTGCCTCAACGTGTTTTTTTCCTCTTTTTCTTCTCAACAAAGGAATTTGCAGAGAGAGCTTCTGCAGGGAAATAGTGAGAGCAGATATCAGGAGATTTCCTGTCCCTTCATTACACAGGAGGGCGAGAAAGAGATTTAGGTGCTTTCTCTTTACAAGCTAGAAGCTTTTGGTATTAATCCCACACACAAGCTATGGTCATATGTCCAGGAACCAATTAAATGGTTGTTACAATGCTGACCCTTCTTGAGCCCAGAACAATTGATCATGATTAGAAAGAATACATCAAAAGGCTGTCTAGGCAAAACTGCCTTGAATGCAACTAGACAGTGCCATTTTGTCTAGAATTCTCCTTCCCTGCTTGACTAAGGTAACATTGTGGATAGAAGTCACAATGTGTTACAGTAGCACATTTTTAAAACTGCAGACATCATCATCTACAATTTCCTTGGTTCAAACCAGCATCTTTTCCCATTTTTTAGTTCACAGTTCTTAAAAATAAGTGGTCTTTGCACCACTTGGCTCCTCAAGCCTGCTCTCTGCAATTCAACGACTGATCTGAATGTAACCTGCTACCATAAATCTCCAAATTATTTTTGATGTTACTTCAGTGTTGATTTTAACCATGTCATTTTTCCTGTTTTCCAGGGGAAGGTAAACTCTTCACTTGGGGTTGGGGTGAGTATTAATCTTGTTGGTGATTTGATCTTTATTTAGCTGGTTGTTTTTTGCACCAGAAGGTTGAGAGTTTGGGCTCTTAACTTGCCAACCATGTAGTGTTGAATATTGTTATAGATGCCATCCTTTGAATCCATTTCTGTTCTGACAGATGTTGAAGATACCATAACACGCTTAAAGCTCTTGGTGTGTCTTTCACCACAACCATTATAGTATCGAACAGACTAATTATATCATTCATGTCGGTGATAAGTTGTTGGATGCTGCTTTTGTAAAACACAGCAGATACGTTCTCCTATTTACAGTTACTGTGCTTTACAAACAATTCGACTGACGTCCTTTGTGACTTTCTTGTGTGGATACAAGTGTATTATTTTGTTTGTTTATAGATTGTTCATATTTTCCAGGTAACTACGGGCAACTTGGCCACGGACAGTCTAATAGTTCTGATCTTCCAAGACTTGTTGAGTACTTTGTACGAAACCGTCTTTCTGTTCTCGATGTTGTTTGTGGAACATGGAACACTTTTGTGTTTGCACAACAGGAAGCATTTTGAGCCTTGGATGAATTGTGTTCTGTCACTCACTGAAATATGTCTGATTAAGATCATGTCAAAAATCAGCACAGTGGCGTCGTGAGCAACCAAGCACTGAACTATATTAAGTTGGTTTGCTTTTTGATTGTCAATTGTTGTTAAGTTATTTGCAGCACTAATTGGCTTTCCCGTGGCTTAGGAATGGGACAAAATGGACTGTTTCTTGCTGCTCATTTGTCCATTGACCTGTATTGGGAATATACACGTGTAGGTATTTGTGAGCAGGACTGTGGTTGCTTCTGTGATAAATTAGTTTGTGGACAATTTTAGTCTTGATGTTTGAGAAGAGTACCCACAATGGACAAAGTATTGGAGGAGCTAATGTGCTCACATGACTTCAGGAAGAGAAAGTCTTGCCAAAGCTAAAACCACTGGCATCAGAACAACGAGTGATATGAGAAGGAAGCAACTGATTAGGACAGCAATAAGTTGGAGACCTTATTAACTTCTCATTTCCTGTTGTTGCAGCAAGCATCACATATGGATCAGACTTCCTGGCCAATTGCTCAATTTCACATGTAACTTGCCATAACATCTTAACTCTGGTCTACTCTTCTTCACTATCTATCCCTCCAACCCGGCACTTCTCTCCATCTTCAGAAAAACCGATCTGATCACCTTGTCTTTACCTGCTTCCTCTAGCACTTTCCCAGTTTGTAAACATTGTTTGAACTCTATTATTAAATGTATAACTTTTAACAAAATATTAAAATGTAGTCTCTTATATCGTGGAAATGCATTTTTATCAGCACCTAACAATCAGATGTTTGAAATTTAAAATTAACTTTTTCATTTTAATTTGACTCATTTTAAAAAGTTATAACTTTTCTGCAATCACTTTTTAAGCAGGTTGATGGAACCAGTCACCGACTTTTGTAGAGAAAGTGTGTCAAAGATGATGGCCTGTGGGCTCCTTTTACCTAGCTTGTACTCCAACCCTTCCTTCTAGTTTTGACCATGATGCTGATCTTACTAGACAACCCAAAGTTTGATGCTATTTTTGCATCCTTTCATCAGATATTAGAATTTGCAATAGGTATTCTGACATGGGTGTAGATTTAATTGGCACTAGCTCAGCCTACTCCTGCTAAAGAATTCCCTGAGATTATATTCAGTGTCTGCTGCAAATGTCTGAGTTCTGCCTCCTTCCTCTTTTTATCATCTGTAAAGCCTTTCTTTCACAGAAGTGTACAGATGTTGTGTATTTAAGTTGAACAGACAAAGCATGCGAACTGATAATCTGCATTTACTCTTTGATTCTTAATCCATTAATATGTTTAGGTGTGTGGCTGACCAAGGGCAGAAGGCTGAAACACTGTCCTCCAGGATTGGACCAGTGTTATACAATCTGAGGGAAATTCTCAGGCTGCCTTGTTCAGGGTATTTGAGTTTGTCCCACTCTGACTTGATTTGATTTATCATTGTTATGTGTACCTAAGTACAGTAAAAAGCTTTGTTTATTAGCAGTGTAGGCAGATCATAGGGTGAAAAACTTAGAGGTATATGGGTTACATCGCACAGAGCATGTGCTAGGAAAGATCAACATTAGCAAGATCAGCATAATTTGAAGTTAACGAATCCATTCATCAGTCTAATAACAGATGAGAAGAAGCTGTCGCTGAACCTGCTGGTGCATGTGTTCAAGCTTCTGTATCTCCTACCTAATGGAAGAGGTTGTAGGAGAGCATTACCAGGGTGCGATGGGTCTTTGATGATGTTGGCAGCCTTTCTGTGGCAGCGAGCTGTGTAAATGGAGTCCATGGATGGAAGGTTGGCTTCCATGATGGTCTGGGCTGTGTACACCACTTTCTGTAGTTTCTTTCGGTCCTGGGCAGAGCAGTTGCCATACCAGGCTGTTATGCACCCGGACAGTATGCTTTCAATGGGCATCTGTAGAAGTTGGTGAGGGACCCTATGGACATGCCAAATTTCCTGAGCCGGCTGAGGAAGAAGAGGCGTTGTTGTGCCTTCTTGACTGTTGCATCTACGTGGGAAGTCCAGGACAGGTTGTTAGTTATCATCACTCCTAGGATGTTGATGTAGATGGGGGCATGTTCTCCTTTCTCTCTGAAGTCAGTGATTAATTCTTTAATTTTGCTGACATTGACAGAGAGGTTGATCTCATTACACCACATCACCAAGCCCTCTATCTCCTTTCTGTATGCTGACTTGTCGTTGTTAGGTATCCGTCCTACCATGGTGGTGTCATTAGCAAACCTGCAGATGGTGTTCGTTCAGAGTTTGGCTACACAGTCGTGGGTGTACATGGAGTATAGTAGGGGGCTGAGGAAGCAGTGGTTCTCCAGTGTTGAGTGTTATCCTGGGGGTGTGCAGTTATCTATCTTCACTGAAGTGGATGTGAGGAATGTGGATCAGCCATGAATGGTGGAGCAGACACAAGGGACAAAAACGACCTACTCTGGTTCCTTTTTCTTAAGGTTATCTTACTGGATGAGAAATGACAGTGATATGTATTGTGTGAAAAATGTTCGTCAGGCTTGTTAACCTCCAAACTTTGTGCTTTTTCTGTCCTTGCTTGCTAGCTGTCAGACATCTATCTTCAAGTTTATTACTTACTTTCTTCTCTTCTGCAGCACAGTAAATCGACATTTTCTGGAGTTCAGTAATGCTTCATTGTCATGCTGGTGCCTCAGATCTTCAAGCATCTTTGCATTTTGAGTCAAGGTTGTTGAAGCAGATTCAGTGGTAACTTTCAAAAATGAGTTAGATACATACTTGATAAGGAAAATATTGTGGGCCTTTGGCAGAATGACCATAAGAAATTGGAACCGGTGTAGGCCATTTGGCCCCTCGTGCCTGCTCCACCATTCAACAGGATTATGGCTGATCCAACATTCCTCACGTCCATTTTCCTGCCCGTTCTCTGTAACCCTTCATTCCCCTACTGATCAAAAATCTATCTACAGCCTTAAGTATACACAAGAACTCTGCCCCACAGCTTTCTGTGGCAAGGAATTCCAAAGACGCTCAACCCACTGAGAGAAGAAATTCCTCATCCTAGTCTTAAATTGGTGCCCCTTTATTCTGAGACTGTGCCTTCTGGTCCTAGACATGAGGGGCAACATCCTCTCAGCATTTACCCTGTCCAAACTCCAGTGAGTAAAATCCAAACCTGCTTATCCTTTGCTCATAAGACAATCCCTCCATACTGGAGATCATTCCCTAATGAACATTCTCTGCATATTCTCCAATGAAATGATATCTTTCCTTACATAAGGGGACCAAAACTGCTCTAGATGTGGTCTCACCAGCACATTATACAGTTGCAGTAAGACTTTCCTACTCTTACACTCCCACACCCCTTGAAATAAGGGCCAGTTTCATGCATAAATATCTTCAAGTCCCCTTGTTTGCAGCTTTCTGCAGTTTTTCTCCATTTAAATAATATGCTGTCCTTTTGTTCTTCCGTCCAAAGTGGACCTCTTTACATTTTCTCACATTTATATTCCATTTCCCATCTTTTGCCGTAAACTGTACATTTCCCTCTAGCAACTTACTTTGCACCTAATTTTGTCATGTGCAGTACATTTGCCTCCTTCTTCCAAGTTATTTACATATATTGTACACAGTTGCAGTCTGAGCACTGATCCCTGTGGAGCCCCAACGGTCGCAGGTTGAAAAGGAACCTCTTACCTCCACTCTGTTTCCTACCCATTAGCAAATTCTCTATCCATGTCAAAATGCTACCTCCACTTTGGACTCTTATGACCATCTTGTTGAATGACTTCTGAAGTCCAAATACAACACATCTACTGGTTCCCATCCATGCACTCAAGACTTCCTCAAAAAACTTTAATAAATTGGTCAGACACTATTTCTTTTTCATAAAGTCATGCTGACTTCTAGATTAGATTGAGATTTTTAAAATGTTCTATTATTTCCCTAATAATTGATTCCAACATTTTTCCAACAATAGATGTTAGACTAATCAACCTGTAGTTACCTACTTTTCTCCTCCCTTTTTGAATGGGGATAGCAAATTGGCAGTTTTCCAATCCTCTGGTGCTTCTCCACAATCCAAGGATAATGCATTTGTTATTTCCGTAGCTGCTACTTTCAGGATCCTAGGATTCAGGGCCAGAGAACTTATCTACCTTTAACCCCATTAGTTTGTCTAATACTACTTTTCTGGTGATGCTGATGGCATTTGAATTAGTGTATAGCTTGTGGCTGCAGGTTTCAGGGGCTCCCCACATACAAATACCCTCAAATCCTTTGTGTTACAGCTTTTCTCCATTTAAGTAATACTGTTCTTTTGTTCTCCCAAATTGAACAACTTTACATTTTCTCACATTTATATTCCATTTGCAAACAGTAAATAATCAACTGTTCTAAGATCAGGTATTGAATACTATTGACAACTGGGGTGAACCCTGTGGGATTCTAAACATTCGGTAAAGTTTGATGGAAATTGCTCCTCGTGTGCTGTACCACGGAATTTCAAAACCTACTGGACAGCAAAATCTTTTCCATACCCAGGAACACCAGTATGTGTCCTTTAGGATTTGGAGGATACTTTCTGACACTTGTAGCAAGGTTGGCAATAATGGTGCTTTCTTTCCTTTATAGAGTAGAAAAACAGGTTGTCGTCCAGTCGCTATGAGATGGAATGGAATGACCTTATCTGACACCTTTCCCAGGTAACAGCGAGGATCTTTTGTCTGATATGCAAAACGTGACTCATAATTCTCTTTTGCTTTCAGCAATTTGGGAATTAGCTCAGAATCAACACTTGGTGACTACCTCAGCTACCATGGTCATTGTTTCCCCAAGTGCTTTCCTGAACATACGTTTGGTGATAGCAGCCTCTCCTGGGGCTCCCTCTTCAAGGCTGCAACACATCTGCAACAAATACCTGGGCTGAGAGGTTGTGTTCAATTACAGTCAGTTATTCTCCAGGTTCCTTTGCAGCAATTCTGGTTGTGTTGGATGAAATGGTACACTAACTTCTCCCAGCAATTGCGACATTCCTTGTGATTTGGCCTAATGGGGCAATGTGATGTTTGCAAATTTAGCTTTCACCAATCCTGTCTCTCTGCTGTGTAGTCCAAAGTTATGGAGTGTTGTTTCCATTTTGGCTATGTCCTGTCATGTTGGAAATGCATGAATCACTGATCTTGTTCAGTCGTGTAGAAAAACTTCCACTGCTTTTGGGCTTTGAGGAGTTGTCAGCTTCTAGTACACTTTATCCCATTTAATCAGAGTTAGGTAAGTTGGATAAAACATTTGGAGAATATGAAGGTCAGAGAGATTTCAAGAGGAAAAAAAAAATGGAAATTTAACTCTCTAACATTTTTGGTGGCTAAAAATGAGTCATACAACGAGTGCTTGGGATGGAAATACTTTTATTGCACATTAAAAATGTTGAGTTTCCGTCATTTGTCACAAAATATAAAACATTTTCTCTCCCTAGTATAAATCATTTTGAAACATGATTACTTTGAATACTGTAACTGCAGCTTTAGAAAGTGATGTTGTGATAGATAAATTCTTTGTCAAAAATCTACTCTTTTCTCTCTGTCTAATCCCATACCCCACCTTGAGGGAAAAATCATCGAAGGCAATCGGTTGCTAGAATCAGGAGAACGTTGATCTTTCAGATGATCCACGATTGCTTTAAAGTACAATCTTGAAGGAGCTGAAAGGCAAACAAAATATCTAAATCTCTGGAAGAGGAAATCAGAAACTGTGACTGTTTACTTGCAAGAGTGGGGCAGGAAGGCTAACTAAACTTTACTGAATACAGGAGGAGTCTCCTCATCCCATTAACAAAAAATTGGATACTTTGTAGGTGTTGTATAATTAAGAGCCTCTGCTAAGTGAACCATAAGCAGTTCACTTGTATTTGTACCTCAAAATGGCAACTGGAATTTTAGATATGTCATGTGACCTGGATTGGAACCTCACTAGAATGATCTCAGCTGAACCATGTTTCTTTTCATACTACGCCGCATGTTCTCACTCAAATCAAAAGATGATTGGATTTAGGGTACAAGGGCACTTACCACCCTGTTTATTTTTGGCAGAGTAAGTTAAAATTAGGTTTGTCCTCACGGATCATCCACGCAGGCATTTTACACCAGAGACCAATTACAGTTCCTGAACTGTCGGCCCAGTCATGTTTAATGAATCACCAGGCTAGAAATCGAATCGGCTCCCTTGGTGAATCGAGATTTTGGTATTCACAACAGCATTCCTTTTCTCAGAGGACATGTAACTGATTTGCACCCACTTGGCCTGCCGCTCAGTTTACAGATAAACCATGTTTCAGCTAGTGTACACGAATGGAAAAAGAACCATTACATTTTGTTCACTGTACCTCACAAAGTCAGGCGACCTGGAGATGACGTGCTGAAATTCTGAGAGGTTCACGGTTCCATCTTTATCAATATCGGATTCTTCTAAAATCTGAGTAACACAGTAAGTACGTGTAAAGTATTTTAAGAGTGGATTGGATATGCACCCCTGACACTTCCTTGGTGTTAAAACTGTCAAAACTATCTGAACCCAGTTATCTAATACTGAAATTTTCTAAACCGGAGCTTCAAGTTTACCAATTAACCAAGATGTTTTTGCCTAATGGATTTAAAAGATTAGCACCTGAACATCACAACATGTTCTAGGCACCAAACAATCACTGGGCAGCCATAAACCAGTATTTAAAAGGCTGAGATTCAATAATTTTAAATCTCAATACTGTTTGATTATTATACACATGCAAATTTTTGTCTCTAATTCTAATGTTTGTTCTGTCACCAGCTGACAGGCCTCCACTGATCATAAAACTGAGGTGGTCACTGTCTAGGCTATAGACTTGTTACATAGAGTCAAAACTAATCAGACAAGGCTGTGATTTTCATTTGGAAATGGACAACATTTTGGAATGATAGGAACGTAACCGTATAAAGGAAAATCAAATCTCCCATATAATAGAATTTAACAGCTCACCAAGACTCCTTAGACAACACCTTCCAAACCTGTAATCTCTACCACTTTTAAGTTAACTAATTCTAACAAAATCAACCAACTGTTATCCTAGTCACAGTAGCCTCACTTGTACTGCTGAAAAGGTCATCAATCTGTGACGTGAATGGTCCACCTACTCTGCCAGACCTGCTAAGCATCTGCACTATTTTGCTTTTGTTGTAGCATCACTGTAGCTTCTCATTGCAAGTGAGAGGGTGTAAACAGGCATAACCTTGGAGTACAACCAGCTATTGAAATATTCCTGCCAAAAATTAAATATTTTATTGGTTCATGTAAAATTATGATTTTTTTCAGAGTACACCATCACGTGCTCCCTTGAAAATTAATTACTGTTAACTTCTGAAATTCTAGCTGGTGTTCTTGAAGCAGTGAATGTTTTGCTACATCCTGCATTTCACTGCCACAAAGTTCCTGAATTTGAAAATTAATGTATGAGGGGGTCTAAGGAAATTACTTGTTCCTCTAATCTTGTTGCTTATTATAAAACAAAGTCTTCTGATTAATTTGATGGCTGTCAGTATAGGGCATCAATGCCAACAAGAAAACTAGTCACAGTTTCTGGCACTGATTATCAGTGACCCCAGTTGAAAGAGTGTACATGTTTATTTGGACAAGGTTCTAGCTTGGTTGGTGTGCTTCTAATCAATTAAATTGTGAATAACAGCAGACTATGCTCACAAAGAATGGGTGCTTGGGCTAGATACTGGCAAGTTGTGCACCCCTTACCCTAGCTAGAATCTACTGCCAGAAGAGAAGATTCAGACTTTGGATGAAGGAGGAAGTAAGGATTTTATTTATGTCTCAAATGCAAATAAGCTGATAAGCCTACACTGATCGCAACTCGATGACCCTTTATAGGGCTTCCTTTGGGTAACTCTCATCCAACTGCAATATGATATTTAGAACATCCTGAGCCACAGTCAAAATTCCACTAGATAAGATCATGAAATATTCAAACACATTACTGTCTCCTCTCCATTAACGGAAAATTTTCAGAGACCATCAAGGTTACTGGCCTGCAATGTCAGAAGGAGATTAGTGCACGAAGGCTGATGAAACCAGATGAAATAATAGAGTGAACTTAATTAAAAAGCCCACTTTCAATGACCTCAAGATGTAGCAAAGCACTTCACAGTTGCTTGAAATACTGAGTTCGGTCACCTATTATAAGAACAGCAAATGGATTATTGCTTACCTTAATATCTCCCTTTCTTCCTGAGCTATAAATGCGTCGTTTTAATGCTATCATCTAAACTTTAATTGAGCTGACTGCATTACCGCAGCCTACTGTAAACCTTTCCCAGCACTTGGTAATTGTTTTCTTCCTCCTACATCTGCAAGTTTAGAGGAAGAAGGGAAGACTGAAGGAAGCAAGCAAGGAGTTGGCCTTCACTTGTTTGTACTGCTTCCACACTTAGTGTTCTAACAAGGTTCCCTATTTAAATAAAGGATACTGTTACTTGTATGTATATTAAAGTTTGCAGCTTTTCAGTAAGAGTTTACTTACATTTTGAATCAGCTGGTTCATTTCTGCCTCTGTCAGTTGTGTATCAGATGTACCTCCTGTCAGACAATTCACCAATTTCTTCAAATCCTCTTTATCTAAAGTGCCATCATCATCAAAATCTGTAAGCAGTATCAAAATAATGGATGTTTTAGAACAAGCTTCATGTTAAGTCAGAGTTACTCTCAAATCAGAGCTACAATTCTACCCTATGAAGCCAACCTCAACTTGCAAATAGATAGTCTCGTGTATTTTGATAACCTTACTCACCATTTTAATCTGGGGTCTGAGTTTCCTTGCAGGGACAGGATGGGTAGGGGGAGCAAAATCCCAGGAATGATAAATTCTCTAAGACCCAATTTAACTTTGTTGATTTCAGGCAACCATCAATACCCTCCCCGCACATTCATATCTTCATATTGAATATGTACAACGAGTGTTTGTAAGGAAGGTCATTAGGTACCATTCTTATCCAAAATGTGCACATTATTAACAACAGCCATTAGATAGAGCACTTCCAAATCCCCCTGCTAACTGGATTCTGGTTTCTAACTCAGCTAAACTTAGCTTTAAAGAAAGGTTAGATTATGAGGGGCATGAAAAAGTGGTGGAAGTAGCTGTTCCCCTTAGTTGAAAGAGTCAGTAACAAGAGTACTAATTTTCAGATGAAAGACAGGAGATTTAGCGTGGATTTGAGGAATGTTTTTCCCACCAGGGTAGTGGGGGTCTGAAATGCACTGCCTGGGAGGGTAGTTGAGGTGAGAAACCTCACAACCAGTGGGCACTTAATGTCATAACATGCAAGGCTATGAACCAAGTGCTGGAACATGGGACTAATGTAAATGGAGAGTAGTTTTTTTTTGTTGGTTAAGATTCAATGGGCTGAAGGGCCTCTTCTGTACTGTATGATTGTATTTGTTGAACCCAGTCATCATATCAGTTGAGTATAACCAACATTGCTACTGAACAATGTTCTCAATTAGGCCTTTCAGTTGGTGTCTAAATACAAGATAAGAATTCTTTTTTTCTTCCTGTCTTACTGGGAAACAGGAGGAGCCCCACTAGATGTTAGCTTGGTCAGGAATGCTACAAACAGACTGGTCTGTGCATGGAGGCTCAGAGATGTATGGGAAAACTAGTCTGTCAAAGCCCACAAGTGGGCTACAAGAATTAAGCTGCCACTGTATTTGAAATAGACTACAGTATCTGCTTTGTCAACCCCTGGAAGATCAGACTAACCAAAAATTCTGAAAGCATAGTGCGACTTGATCTCGGGCGTTGCCGAATCACTAAAAGCACTGAGCATGTCTAAGAAATCCTCAAAAGACATACTGCCATCCTTTTCAATCGCAGTTGAGAACACCAGACAGATTCTCTCTCTGAAGGGGTTAGCCTATAATTGAAACAGAAAAGTTTGTTAAAATGGCTGATGGTTTTGTTACAGATCTTTGCAATTCTGATCATTCACATGCGAGTTTTAACCGTGAATGATAGTTAGTATATGGTAGTGACATCACAATGATGAACAGTTCTGTCCTAAACATCAGGGGAGCAGCTAGCAATGAACTGACACAGTGAGTGTTTACAGACTATTCTGACATAAGGGTTGTCACGGCCAAAAGCAATCCTATTCTCACCCAGGTTCTAAAGCAACATCTTCCAGGAGATGACGATCAACATCCTGATATTTTCTCCTCAAGCTCAGAAGACTTTTAACACTGACCCATTTGCTTTCACAAATCCATTTCTACATTAGCACCACATAAACCATTGCAACAATGTTAGCACTTTGCTGAATTGTTTTCTCTGTTGAGAATAACTGGGGCATAGAGATTTCTCCACACTGATAATTGAACAATATTAGAATCCTAAAGACTGCTCTGAGATCTTTTCGTACCTTCAGCTCTGGCATCTCACAGATCCTGTCCTTTGAAACTCGTGTGTTTTGGAAGTCAACCAGATCTTTTGAAAGCAGCTCCGCGAATATTCGATAAGCACTTTGTGGATAAAAGAGTTAATGAGCCTTAATAGTTTAAACCTCTTTAGAATGGTTCAAAACAAGCTGTGCAAATTCTTAACCAGAACTGCAGATTACAATGCAATTCAGTAGCAGGATGCAGGTTAATGTTTAATGTATGGCAAAGAACCAGTACTTCTGTACACTGGAATATGCATTGATTCAATGAAAGATGAAGACGAATAGGAAATAATTCACGATCATCATGAAGCAGACACCATCATTACAAGCTACTAAAATTATTATCCATTGCACTTCAAATGTTGTGCTAGCTCCTTTCTAGGTACAGTTTCACAGTACCAGATTTCATCCAATACTTCACCTAAGCTATTCTTGAGAGCATCTAGACATTGAGCATTGACCGTTAATTTGTGTTTTATTTCAATACAGTGCCCTTTCAGGGATTGTTTCATTATTATATTTGACTTATTTTAATAAGAATAGAGGGAACTTTACTCTGTATCTACCCTGTGCTGTTCCTGTCCTGGGACTGCTTGAAGGAGATGCTGTTACTTACAGTTTACTTCCAGTTTATAAGAGTCAAAGGAGGTTTAATTTCAGTTTAAAAGAGTAGAGGGAGCTTTACTCTATATTTAACACCGTGGAGTCTCTGCCCTGCGAGTGTTTGATGGGGACAGTGTTGGGGAGCTTTAGTTATAGTTTACTTTCAGATTAAAAGAATAGACATTGATGACTAGTTGACTGTGAAGGCTTCACACAATTCAATTGCTTTCACTGTACTGCTACACAATATATACAGAAAATAGATACAAGAGCTCTAGATGTTTGTTCCTTTTCAGAGAAAAAAAGTAATCAATTGCCATAACTGTGTCATAGCTGCCACGTTTGATGAGATAAGCATTATCCAAGGATTGAGTATTTACTGTTATCAATGGTACTTACTGTTACTAGTGGGAGTTGTTTAAAGACCTGCTGATCAAGAGTTCAGGACCGGCATGTTCCAGTAAGGAGGAAGGACAAGGATGGGAAGGTAAGGGACCCTTGGATAACAAGGGAGGTTGTAAATTTAGTCAAAAGGTAAAAAGAAACAGATGTAAGATTAGGGAAGCTAAAATCGGACAGGGCCTGTGAGTAATCTAAAGAAAGCAGGAAAGAACTCAAGCAGGGAACTGGGGAAGAGCAAGAAGGTGCCATGAAATGACCTTGGCAAGTAGAGTTAAAGACAGTCTCAAAGCATTCTATACATACGTTAGAAATAACAGGATAACTGGGGAGAAAGTAGGACCTCTCAAGGATAAAGGAGGGAACTTGTGTTTGGAGACAGAGGATATGGGCAAAATCCTAAATGAGTACTTTGCATCATTTATCCAGGAGAAGGATATAGAGGATAGTGAGATTTGTGTGGAGCATGCTAATATGCTAGGGCATTTTGAGATCAAGAAAGAAGTGGTGTTGAGTCTCTTAAAGAGCATTAAGGTGGATAAGTCCCCAGGGCCCGATGATATCTACCCCTGGTTATTGAGAGAGGCAAGAGAGGAGATTGCAGGGGCCTTAACAAAGATCTTTATATCTTCGTTAGCCACTGGAGAGGTCCCAGAGGACTGGCCCGTAGCTAATGTTGTTGCTCTGTTCAAGAAGGGAAATAATAATCCAGGAAACTATAGACTGGTGAGTCTCTCATCAGTAGTTGGGAAGATATTGAAGAGAATTCTTAGGGACAGAATTTACATGCATTTGGAAAAGCATGGCCTAATCAGGGACAGTTAGCATGGCTTTGTGCGAGGCAAGTCATGTCTTACTAACTTGATTGAATTTTTCGAGGAGGTGACAAAGGTGATTAATGAGAGTATGGCAGTGGATGTTGTCTACATGGAGTAAGGCTTTCGACAAGGTCTCTTTCAGAAGATTAAGATGCATGGGATCCATAGTGTCCCACGGGGGTTCAAGATTGGTTTGCCCATATAAGGCAGAAGGTAGTGGTAGAAGGGTGTGTTTCTGCCTGGAAGTCCATGACTAGTGGTGTTCTGCAGGGATCTGTACTGGGACCTCTGCTGTTTGTGATATACACACACACACAAAATGACTTGGCTGAAAATGTAGATAAGTGGGTTAGTAAATTTGCAGACGATACAAAGATAGGTGGAGTTATGGATAGTGTATGAGGTTGTCAAAGGGATATTGATCAGTTGCAGATGTGGGCGGAGAAATGGTAGATGGAGTTTAATCCAGGTAAGTGTAAGGTGCTGCACTTTGGGAGATCAAATGTTTTGGTTAGGCCACACTTAGTACTGCACTCAATTCTGGTCGCCAGGATGTGGAGGCTTTGGAGAAGGTGCAGAAGAGGTTTACCAGGATGCTGTCTAGAGGGTATGAGCTATAAGGAGAGGCTAGAAAAACTTAGGTTGTTTTCTCTGGAGCGATGGGGGCTGAGGGGAGACTTGATAGGAGCCTATAAAATTATGTGATGCATAGATAGGGTTGACGGTCAGAATCTTTTTCCCAGAGTTGGAAATGTCTAATACTAGGGGGCACGCATTTAAGGTGAGAGGGGGAAAAGTTAGAAGGAGATGTGAGGGGCAAGTTTTTTTTTTTACACAGAGAATGGTAGGAGTCCGGAACGTGCTGCCAAGGATGGTGGAGGCAGATACACATAGGGGCATTTAAGGGACTTTTAGATAAGCACATGAATAAGCAAGGAATGGTGGAATATGGACCAAGGGCAAGTAGAAGGGATTAGTTTAATATGATGTTATGTTTGGCACAACATCGTGGGCCAAAGGGCCTGTTCCTGTACCGTTCCATGATCTACTGTTCTGGAACAGTCATTGCTAGAGTGGGAAGTGTACTTGCACAATAAGCTAGAAACCACAGCACTGCAGTAGTTGCTGAGATGTCACATCCAACTGTGGTGAATTGATGGAACATTTCCAATACTCTCCAGAGACCATTAAACAAAGTATAAAATCCCCTACTTACTGCAGAATGTCTTGCTTTGTTAAAAATGTCAGTTCCTAAAACAATAAAACACAAATCATACTTAAGCATTGGTGCAGGCACACACCTGACAGCTGTTACAGTGTGGTCAGGCAAGTCAAGCTATTTATGATCCAACCATTGACTAATAATGGATGTCTTGGCCTTTATTTCATTCAGGAGATTTTAGAAAAGTGAACCCTTCACATTTCTTAAAATTCACTTCATTATCACAGAAAATGGTAGAAACATTCAGGTCAGGCAGCATTTGTGGAGAGAGAAACAGAGGTAACCTCTCAAGTTGATGACTTGTCATTAGAACATCCCTAAGAAACTCTCCACACACAGTGCCTGACCTGTTGAGTATTTCCAATATTTCCTGTTTAGAGCTCAGATTTCCAGCAGCCCCAAGATTTTACTTTCCAATTAGTCATCAGTTTGGTTCAGTTGAGTTCTCACCTCTAGGATCAAGCCACACTCCAAGGATGACCTTCCTGTGCACCAAAGAAACTGCACTGTCAAATAGTGCAGGCTGTTAAGACTTCATCTTAAAATGCAGGTTTGTTTGGGTGGATGCAAAAACACCCTATGGAACTATAACAAAGGAACTTTTTATAACTTTGTCAACATTGCCTACTAATTCAGAGCAGGATAATTAATGAATTAGTCACGTATTAATAGTGAAATTTTACTTTGTACTTGAAAAGACCTGGATGCAATTGGATGCTTTTTTGATAAGAATTGTTTTTGCTCCTTGTAAACCCTGCTCTGACCAGTACTTCAGCAATTTCGAACTTCAGTTATCTTTTGTTTTCATGACTCTTTCTACCATTATTTAATCTTCCATATTGGAGGGTTCATTTTGTTTTTTTCACATTCTTATTTAGCCATGCCACATCCTTGAACACAATCTGCATTTAGTTCAGACACTAAAATGTTCTTTTCCTGTTGCTGCAAAGCCTCATTCTCTTGGCTAAGTCAGTAACATTAGAAAGCAACATGTTCAGTTCATAAAGTAAAAAAAGGTGGAGAAACTCAGCAGGCAGTATCTGTGGCAGGAGAAACACCGCTTAACATTTTGAGTTCAATGACTTTCTTTGGACTTGTTTTTATTTCTGACCTCCAGCATCTGCAGCAGTTTGCTTTTATATTCTATGCATAAAGGGGTTTGAGACAATGCTGCAATTAAAGCAACAATAGCCATCCAGACCAACTCAGCAATTATTGAAAAGGTTATGATAAAATACTTTGGCTTAAATTTATTCTAAATAATTATACTTATAATTCATCTATGCTGGGCTCCACGTAAGGACAAATTCTCCCAAGAAGAGTTTTTTTTTTGTTAAAGTTGAATTTTATTTTCTCACCTGGTATTCAGAAAGTTGCTCCTTTGAGAGGTGACTGGCAGACCCCCCCATGTTCCAAATTTGACCCCGTTAACTTTGATTTCTGGATCCTTTGGGAACACACACACACAGTGGTACCAGCAGTCCTTCTGAATGCTTGTATCACTTAACTTAATTAAGTTGGACCTGAAAGGAAAAATAGGTTAAAAATTCACATGAAGATCTTTAGAACTGGATGTTGAGAAATGGATGAGTAACTTTATCAGGTGGAAGGAGGTGAGCAAGAAACAGGTAAAAGTGGAACTAGGGTCACTGATTCCAGTTGTATATAGTTACTGACTTCAAAGTAACTGCAAAGAACATTTTTGAAAGAAATTGAACACATGAAAACTGGTAATTAATATAAAAATAATCATTTGATGAAATGCAAGTATTAAATTAAAACCAATGACCTTGTTTCACAAAAATCCTCTCAATGCTTCACACACAGTTATATAATGCAGTTACTATCTCTAAATGAATGAGTAAGCACAGAGAAATGAAACAATCAGTTAACATCATTCTGGCAGATTTGATTGAGCAAGATGTGGTCTGGCTTCCTAGAGGACACCTTTGCCTGCCCATCTTAACTTGTGAGCCAAAGGATAGATTGTGTTCAAACATGTGGTATTGCTAAACAAGAGCAATGCTTCCCTTGTTGTCTAGTGGTTTAGATTCAGCACTTTCACCGCCATGGTCTGGGTTCCATTCCCGGTTAGGGAATGAGGGTTTATTGTTCTAAACGGCCCTGGTGGTGCAGTGGTAGTGTCCATACCTTTGAGACAGAAAGCCTTGTTTCAAGGCCCACCTCTAGATCTATGTAATAACATGTCTGAATGTGTTAATTAGAAAATTTCTAAAAAGCCAACATTATCTCCTTACGTTTTGGAGGGTTTAAAGTGACGGCAGAAAGTCATGAAAATAAGAAATAGTTGCAGTCTGAAGTCAGTAGTCAGAACAGGGAATGTGTAGGTTGTCCTGACTAGGTTCCTTTCTTGATCCCCTACATTAATGTTAGTTGTACAACCAACAAAGAACAAAAACCAGTGGTAATCAAGGGAAATTTCAAAATGTGGAGAAATTGTGATCAAATGAGGGCACAACAGATCTCATATTCAGTAAACAACTATTGATTGATTGATTATTGTCACTTGTACTGAGAAACAGTGAAAAGTGTTGTCTTGTGTGCTAACAGGCAGATTGTACCACACAAAGTGCATCAGGGTAGCAGAACAGAGTGCAGAACACAGCAGAGAAGGTGCACAGAAAGAGAGATCAGAATTAACATTTGAGAGGTCCGTTCAAAAGTTCGATAACAGCAGGGAAGATGTTCTTGAAACTGTTTGCATGTGAAAACAAACTTTTATAACTTGGTGGACAGAAGAGGTGGAATACAGTATGGGGGAGGGGTGGAGTTGGCAAGGGGCTTTGATTATGTTGGTTGCTTTTCTGAGGCAATGGGAAGTATAGATGGAGTCAATGGATGAAAGGCTGGTTTGCCGGGTGGATTGGGCTGTGTTCACGACTTCGTACTTTCTTGCGGTCTTGGGAAAAGCAGTTGCTATACCATGCTGTGATGCACCCAGACAGGATGCTTTCTACGATGCATCTACAAAAATTGGTAAGAGTCTTTGTGGATATGCTGAATTTCCTTAGCCTCCTGAGGAAGTAGAGACGTTGCTGTGCTTTTTGACCATTGCGTTAATGTGGGTGGACCAGGACAGATTGTTGGTGATCATCACTCCCAGGAACTTGAAGCTGTTTTGACCATCTCCACTTCAGCACCATTGATCCAGACAGTGGCTGTCCTCTACTCTGCTTCCTGAAGTCAATGACCAGCCCCTCCCTTTTGCTGATGTTGGAGAGATTGTTGTCTCGACACTATGCCACTAAGCACTCTACCTCTTTGCTGTACTCTGTCTCGTCGTTGTTTGAGATCTGACCTGCAATGGTGGTGTTGTCAGCAAACTTGTAAATGGAGTTGGGGCAGAATTTGGCCACACTGTTGAGGAGTACAGTAAGGGGCTGAGTACGCAGCCTTGCGGATTATGGTGGAGGAGGTGCTGTCGACTATGTCACCTATCCTTACTGATTTCAGTCTATGGGTCAGGATCCAGTTACACAGGTCTCAAAGTTTGGAGATGAGTTTGTTTGGAATTATGGTGTTGAGGGCGGAATTCAATAAGTAGGAGTCTGATGTAGGTATCCTTGTTGTCCAGATGTTCCAGGGATCAGTGTAGGGCCAGGGAGATGGCATCTGCTGTGGACCTGTTGTGCCGGCAGACAAACTGCAAAGGATCAAGGCAATTTGGTACACTGGAGTTGATGTGAGCCATGACTAACCTCTCAAAGCATTTCATAATTATGGATGTCAGAGCCTCCGGGCAGTAATCTTTGAAGCACGCTGCATGATTTTTCTTTGGTACTGGGATGATGGTGATCTTCTTGTCGCAGCGAGGGATTTCAGATCATAGTAGGGTGAGACTAAAGATGTCTGTGAATACTCCCACCAGCTGGTCCACACGGGATCTGACTGCATGGCTGGGGATTCCATCAGGGCCAGTTGCTTTCCATGGGTTCACTTTCAAGAAGGCTGATCTAACATCTGCAGCAGTGACTATGGGTACAGGTGCATCAGAGGCTGTTGGGATAGGTAACACCGTTTCACTGCCCTTCTGTTCAAAGTGAGCGGAGAATGCATTTTGCTCGTCGGGTAGGGATGTACTGTTGCCTGCAATTCTGTTCGACTTTGTAGCCCATTATGTTATGTCGTGTCATTTGCACAGAGAAATTTAGGATAATTTCCTCTTTAGAACCTCTTGATATTTCATCCTAAAACATTAACTGGAAATGGCAGTGAGGGGAAACAAGACTGATGAGCCAAAGCTCCCAACTCCTAACCATTATGCTTTATACGTACCTTCATGCATTATAAATTAGATCACAATGGTTTAGTATCTTGTTACAAAGACTACAACATAATGGAGTGTTTTCAATGCTCATTCTTCTTATAATGAAATATAATGCTTGCACTGTGCTGAGGTAAGTGGTTTTAGCTGGAGTTCTGATGATATCATTACATTCAGTGGCCCAAACAAAACTGAGGGTGGGGAAAGCAGCTGAGGTTCCTATCTTCTTTTGAATCATTACTAACTTCATAAAGTTTCATCTCAGGCAGTACAAGTGTGTAGGAGCTGAGCTCCCCTTGGCAAAAATCTTACTGAGATTGGCTCCAACAGCTTTTGAGTGGCCTGCTGTCATATGCGACAGTCTTGTAGTGATCAATTTAATCACCTACTGATAGGACACTTGGTGACAAGGTGCAAAGATAACAAACTTTCCCTTAACGTCAGCAAAACTAAAGAGTAGGTCATTCACTTCAGGAAGCAAGGAGGAGGATACACCCCTGTCTACATAAATGGGGCTGAGGTGGACATGGTTCAGAGTGTCAAGTTCCGAGGATTGACGATCACCAAAGATATGGACCAGATCCCCACGTAGATGCGATGGTCAAGAAGGTACAACAATGCCTCTGCTACCTCAGGCAGCTCAGAAAGTTTGGCATCTCCATAAGAACCCTCACTAACTTGTACACATGCACCATTGAAAACATTCTATCCAGGTGCACATTGGCCTGGTATGGCAACTGCTCTGTCCAGGACAGTAAGAAACTCCAGAAAGTTGTGAACACAGTCCAAACCATGACATAAGTCAAACTTCCATCTATTGACTTCATCTCCACTTCTCGTTGCTGCAGAAAGTCTGCTAACATAGTCAAAGACCCCTCCCACCCCTGTTATAATCTCTTCCATCAGGCAGAAGATACAAAAGCTTAAAGACACGTCCCAAGAGGTTCAAGAACAGCTTCTTCCCTACTGTTATTAGACTTCTGAATGGACCTCTCAAATTTCAAATCTTGCTTTTTGTGCATCTTCTCTAAAGCCATAACTTTTTATTCCTCGCTCTGTTCAATCACCCTATGATCTTTGTATGTAATGATCTGCCTGTACTGCACGCAAAACAAAACTTTTCACTGTACCTAGGTATATGTGACAGTAATATATCAAAAAAATCTAGTCATCCTACCTATGTCTTGCCTGTTAATTGTAGACAGACTTTGTTGTGTGTTTGCTTTCTAATTTGCTAAACTCAATTCCTAGCTATAGGAATTCCATTCTCTAAATATATAAGGAATGGGTCTCCAATAAACAGTTATCACAAGATGTGACTATGAAAAAGTGCCTGGTTCAAATAAAAGTTCCAGTGCCTTTAAAAAAATAAATCAATGAAGGTATTCACAATCCTTCAAATTCAAGTCTACAAAATTATTAAATATGAAGTACATGAATGAAGCTGTCTTGAGTGTAATCCAGTAATGGACTCTCTCCTCACGACATTATGCGTTAAGCTTTGGTCCTTATTGTCATCAAGAATTGTTTTATTAGTAACAAGATCAATAAGCTACTTCAACTCATCCTACAGAATCCTCCACAGCATCATTCACCTTGCTCCTGAATCAGTCTTGGGCTCCCCCCCTCCCCCCTCCTCATCAGTCGATCATCTTTGATGTGAGGAACTTTCTCTGGATAGTTTGAATCTCAAGTTGTTCTGGAGATGTGGTATATGATTTGAGGACACAGTTTCTTTGTCCTGTCTCCGCATTCAGGGTCTGTGTAAGAGTGCTCAACCATGAATAACTTGGAGAAGTTTCACAAATATTAATTAGTCACACCAAAGAAACACAGTTCATAGCCTTACAGCAGTAGCAGGCATTGTGCTAACAGTTCACTGGAGGCAATCTTAAAACGCTTGAGCTGATGCGAGTTTCTGAGTTAAGGAACATGATCTTAGCTACAAAGAAGATTTGAAGTTTGAACTCTGAACTCTTTTATACTGAGAACTACCCATTTATTTTACATTTAGGGGGAGTGTGAAAGCCGACAGGAATTTTAAATTTAACAAATTAATGGCAACACAGTTTATGGCACAGGTTAGCTCGCAGGCTGCAGGTTGGATAATTGGAAGATTGATTAATATATTTCCTGAGATTAAAAAGTTGGGCATTAACTCCCTGGATGTTAGCACAGAACTTCAATTAAAGCAATAAACAGCAGCTAAACGACCCAACCCATCAAAGGGACATTATA